CACTGTGAGCTGGAACCACCTCAATGGCACCTGACAGCAACATCACCCACCTTGACTTCGTTGACATTTAGACATGATAAGCCAACAAGGGAGATACAATGGAATCAAAATAAAATATTAAGTTATTCCAGCCTGGGCAGTGAGATTCAAGAGTCTGTGCTTACTGTGAGTGGCTCCTTATGGGAAGGCGGGCAGGCTGTGCTGGCTTTCAATAATGAGAGGTTGGGAGCAGTAGCAAGAGCACAGAAGAGCAAAGCGGATTTTAAGAACGGTGGAGTCACAAATTGTATCTTCTTATAGGGTGACCATGAGTCAGAATTGACTCAGTGGTGGTGGGTGGTTTTAAGGTTTGTTCAAACATGAAAGGAAAAACAGAGTCACTGTTAATGACTCCTGCCTGTGGGCTGTAGTTCAGTGAATGAGTTCAAGGTGGGAAAATGGGCTTTATTTAAGTTTCAAGTTCTTCCATTACAGTGGAACAGATACCTAGCCCCAGCCTGGGAGGGTACTTTGACTCAGAGAAGTCTTTTTTATTTCTCTAGGCTTCTGTTTCCCTCTCTGTAAAAAAGGAATCCATCTGTCATTTATCGTTCATGTAAGACATAACTTATTGGATATCTACTGCATGTCAGTCCTCTACCAGGCACTGTCACACGGGAGTCAAATGTCCCTGCTGACCCGAAACCCACAGTGTAGTGGGGAAGACCGAAAAGAAAGGAGTATGCACAAACTGATATACGATCGATGAGGTCAGGGGAGGTGCTCTGATAAAAATGGAGCCAGGTAAGAGACTGGCACAGGTGGGTCAGACAAGGTATTCTGATAAGATGACAGGAGCAGAGACTTGTAAGTATCAAGGTGAGTCATGTGCACATCTGGATGAGGAAGATGGAGGATCATCAGGCAGAAGTAATGGCAGGGGCAAGAGTCCTGTGGGGGGTGGGGTGTGTGTGTACTTGGAGTTGTTGAGGAAGATCAAGGAAGTCAATGTAGCTGAAGCGGTGAGACCAAAGGCCGACGCAGCGGGATCCTTGTCCCGTAGGGTCCGGTAACCATGTCAGGATACTACTGGCTCTTACTCTGAACAAGATGAGGAATTGTTGGAGAATTTCCAGCATTAAAATGCCAGGGTCTCACTTGTGTTTTCAAGAAGTTATTCTGATGTCTGGGTGGGAAGTTGACCACAGGGGAGCAAGGACCAAAGCAGGGGGACTACTGAGGTGACAAGGGCAGCCGGTCCTGGGAGATATGATGGTGGCTTGGACGCGAAGGGCACGATGGCATTGATGTGTTGACCTTTCTTGAAGTCTTCATAGAGTGAAAGAAAATGATGATCGATATGATGTCGGGAGAGAGAAAGAGAAATGTCAAGGATTCCACCCTAGCTCTTGGTCCGAGGAACTGGGTGAGGGGAGGGTAAGAGAACCACAGTCCTTGTGAGGCAGTTTCGGGGATGATGTTCATCATCTACTGCATGGCAATGGACTTCCTGGATCTGAGACCTCCCCGCAAAGGAGGACAAAGCAGAAAGCCACCTGGGAGTAGCTACTTCTCAAATATGTTCTGGAGGGACATTTTAAGGTCATAAAGCTGGCTGCTTTTTCTCCCTGACATTTTTTCTCTTCAACAACGATGATGGTTTTGAGAAAGGTGACCTTGCAGCCTCAGGGTTCATTCAAGGAACCACATCAACAAGAAGTCACATCAACAGCCCATCAACAAGAAGTCATTCCTCCTCAGCCCCAAGCTCTTTGACGCTGTGACCAGCCTGAAAGCAGGCACATGTTCTAGCCATGGCACCCCCGAGCTGCCCCTTTCCCTCTCCGCTCTCCAAGCGATGCGCTGCTCTGACATTGCCGCCACCTAGCACCGCACAGTAGGGCTCAAGAAAGTGATTTCTAATTTCAGTGAACATCAAAAGATGTCATCCGTAAGCATTTCCATTCTCTTTGCACCCTCCCTTAGGCAACTCTAGCTGTTTGGCCTTGATTTGGGGTCCACTGGGCCTGGCCGGGTCTGAGGGCATCGTCCCCTGGTTGCTTTCACCGCTCTTCCAGACTCTTCTGCCCTGTTTGCCAGCAGGAGTCACTTTCAAATGGCAGCCTCGTGATCTAAAACAGGCACGGGCCATGCCAGAAATGAGCTCCGTATTTCTTTGGATACCCGTGGGGTCAAGGTAGCCTGAAATATGCTAAGAATTTTACAAATGAATCAACAGCAACATTTCTGAAGTCAGAGTTAGTTCAGCTTCAAACAGAGAAATGAAAAGGCTGTGAGAAATGGGAATTTGTCCAGTGGGGGAAATAATAGTGATGTCAAGTGGTTGCGGTGGGGATAAGTGAGAGGGTGTTTGTGAAACTCCTAGTTTGGTGCTTCAAAAGGACCGAGAGAGCGGGCTGAGCTTTCAAGCAAGGGACAAAAGCACACACCGCCGGTTGGAGGACAGATGCATTCATTCAGAGTCTTGTTCTCGCTCGCTTTCCGATTTGCCCTCTCCTCTCCTTTTTGCTCTCTCTCTTCCTCCCTCTACTCTGTTCCATTAACACGTATTTACTGAGCATTTATGGGTTGGTATTTTGCTAAAGGAGGCCCTGGGTGGTGCCAATGGCTGACACGGCCTGGTGGCTATCCTAAAAGCTTGGAGCTTATAACAGGTTCGAAGTTCGAGTCCACCCAGGGGTACCTCAGAAGAAAGGTTTGGCAAGCTTCTGCAACAAAAAACAGCCGCTGGAAGTCCTACAGAGTATAGTTCGGCTTTGATACACATGGGGTCACTATGAGTCCAAATGCAGTCTACCGCAACTGGCTTTTATCTTGTTAAAGATGTTAGATCTTCTTTCCAGTGCTCAAGGAACTTAGCCAGTTACCTACAAGGTTGGTGGTTCAAACCCAATAGCTGCACCAATGGGAACAAGTTGAGGCTGTCTGCTCCCATCAAGATTTAAGATCTTGGAAATCTGATGGCAAATTTCACTATGAAGGCATTGGGTTTGTTGTTGTTGTTTTAAGTGGGAACCTGGCAGGATTCTCAATCTGTTTGTCTTAAACCCAAGAGTTCATTATTGAGATGAATGTGATAGTAGAGAAAATTTTTTTTTTTTTATATTTAATGCTTTTGTAATGTCTGTGAAGAGTATGAAAAGGAGAAAAATGCTGATCTCAAGAACATTTTCTGAGGTACCTTCATGAGATGCTAATTTACTTAATAGAAGAAAAGCCACTGACTGGGATTCATCATGGATGGCTGAAAAGGACTGGGAAGAGTATGTGCTAAGGGCCTAGCTGGAGATGTGGATCAGTAATGGGCCTGTGGCTCATGGGTGGGCTTTCCTTCATCTTGAGGTCTCCATGGGTGACATCCTCTGGAACTCTGTTCTTGGTCCCTTAGGTGCCAAGGCTAGGGCCCTGCTGTCCACTCTCTGACCAGGGTTATTCATATGCTAGGATGTCCACGGCCAGTCCTACTCACTCCTGCCTGTACTCCGCATGGGCTTCTGCTTAAACCTGTACTAATCAGGGCCCAGGTGCTGAAACCAACCATCTGTCCGTTGGCTGCACGATGGTGGATTGTGTGTTGCCATGATGCAAACATTATTTCAAATACCAGCAAGGACAGGTTTGAGTGGAGCTTCCAGACTAAGACAGTCTAGAAAGAAAGGGTTGGTGATGATCCCATTGTGAAAATGAAACAATAAAATTCTATGGATCACAACGGAACGATTTCTGATTTGCTTGCCTTGGGCATGTCCTTCAGAGGGATCAGTCACTGGAAGGAGATATCATGCTTGATGAGGTAGAGGGCCAGCGAGGTTGAGGAAGATGCTCAATGAGATGGGCTGACATCATGGTCACAACAAGGGACTACAACATGCTGGCAACCGTGGGCATGATGCAGGGCCAGATCATGCTTGGTTCTGTGGTGCAGAAGGTCACTGTGAGCTCAGACCAACTTGACAGCAGCATCCCCTCTCTCTTTGGACACACTATTGATGTGACCTGTGAAATATAACTATATTTTACCTCCCCACCCTCACTTTAAATTACTTAGGAAAGCCCTGGTGGCATAGTACATGGACTGCTAATTGCAACATCAGCAGTTTGAAACCACCAGCGACTCTGCAGGAGAAAGACTGGGCTTTCTACTCCCTTAAAGTTACAGTATTGGAAATTCACAGGAGCAGTCCTGCCCTGTCCTACAGGGTCACTGTGATATGGCATTGACTCGATGACAAGGAGTATGTTTTGTCTTATCATTATTTAATCTACTGCTCCTCTCAAATTCAAATAAAGTACTTATAAATTAATTCGTTTCTCGCTGTTTATTTTAAAAGTGACACTAAAACAAATTCCATCGGAATCAATTGCTAGAAGGTGGCATAGGCAACTGGTCACACCACACAGATAGGGATGGTTGCTAATGAAGGCGCAAGTCAGGCATCTGAGGCTTCAGAGAAAGTACACGAAGCCGATAAAACCCTCCACACCAGAATCACTTAGATGCTTCTAGGAAAACTTTGAATCTTGCTGACAATTTTATTACAGAGGCAATGGAAATTAGGCTGTCTGGACAGTTGGGAAAAAAGGCAGTGAGGACAGTCACAAGAATCAAGGAAACCTTTGGAGCGGTTGGGTAAAGTGTTGGAGTACCAACCCTAGTGAGGTTGGCAGTTCAACCCCACTAGCTGCTCTGAGGGAGCAAGCTGAGGCTGGCAGCTCCTGTACAGACTTACAGCCTTGGAAAGCCCATACAGAGTCTCTGTAAGTTGAGTTGACTTGATGGCAGTGGGTGTGGCTGGCTTGGTTATAGGTCGTTATGTCGGAATCAACTCGATGGCCATGGGTTTGGCTTTTGGTATAATTATATCACAGTCAAATATATACCCATTCATGATGATTTATGCTTCCTTCCATGTAGTTCTCCAAATTTAAAAAAAAGTTCATTGTTTTAAAAAAATGAATGGATGTAGATCGAAAATCACTATATGACAGGAGACACTTACCCAGAATGCTTCATGTTTTGAGGCTTATCCATTCGGACAGCAAGTTTGATTTTCAGGTCTTGATCCGGGCAGTTTTTGGAGACTGCCATTTTGTGCCACTCTGACTGCTTGGGGCTGTTTGGGGTGGGATGGAGAATAACCTGTAAGGAAGAAGGAAGCAATCTTAGCCAGAAAACAGAAACTGTGTTACAGGGACTTTTTTCCTCCCCTGAAATCCACTTTTATTGATGTAAAAAAAAAAATCCCAAAGAACAGAGAGTGGTTTCTACTTCACAGAGCACACAGTCCCCGTCCTGTGACCCCTGGGGAGCTGAGGGGGCCAACTGGGATTTTTTTTTCATAGATGGGGACATTTTGATGCTGAGAGATTGGGTGACCTGGCCTGGCCACATGACCCATGGGGAAGCAGTGACGTGAGGCTGAATCTTGGCGATTGGACTTGCATCCCCAACCCCATCTGTGAACCAAGGAGCCTACAAACAGAAATGGTTCTCCTTCTGGTCGTCCTGCTCAATTCCGTAAAGGGAGGACCATGATCTCTGTGGTTCTGTTAACTTTTCTACAGTCCAGCATGATGTGTCACTGGAGTTGGGCAGCTAACAGAGGACAAACTCCACACACCGTTTTCTTCATCTTTATGTAAGCTGTCTGTTCTCCAGGCGTACCATACAGTACAGAGCTGCATGTATGACACATGGAAGAAACACCCTTACATTTTAGGGAGCAGTCCTAGTCCACTCCATCTATTCCTCTCGATTTCACTGACCATAGATAAAGCAGAATATTGTCAACTGCTGCAGGGGGGAATGGAAGAGCCTCTATTTAATAGAAGAGAAATGTGAAGGGACAAGACTTGTGCAGGGTCACACATTTCACAGGGTTTCTTCCTGACTTGAAAACACACGGCTTGTCCTGGCATGGCTCAACGCATGCCCAACATAGCATCTGTTTTAGAAAGGACCATTCTGCACTGTGGCCCAGAGGCGGCACTTTTTTGAGTTGTCTGCCTCACTTCTCTCTGTCTCAGATATGATGAGAGAATCAAGGAGCATCACTCTCTAACACCCCTGTTCATTTTGCAAGTACAGCATCCTCAGGAACCACACGGAACCTGGGGAACTTGCACAGAGGAAGGAATGAAATACCTGGAAACCCCCCTACGTTGGGAAACGTGAGCTCAATACAAGCACAGCAACACTCGGATAACTAAGATTTTGCCTCTGCAGGGCAGCACACCCTGGTTTGCTGCCTGCTGCTTTGGCTCTGATTTCAAAACATCTCTTTCTCTAGGTGTGGGGAAGGAGGGCTCCCCTCTGGAGCTTGTTCAGGTCTGGAGAGGCGGTGGAGGGCTCAGGGGGACCTGATGGCCCTCCAGATGCTGAGGTAGCTTTGTGGCCAGGGAAGCATGGCCCAGGCTTGGAAGGTAGAAGCAACTATTTCCTGCATGACTGGAGAGGAAGAGTTCTGTGAAGGGCAGGGACCAACCCAGGAAAGTCAGTGTGCTTTGACCACGCCACATTTATGCTGATTTGGTCCCTCTCTTCTGATCTTAGGGCTGACTTTGTCTTTTGTGTGTGAGTGTAAAGGATCAAATCTCCTCTCTCTCAGGAAAGCAAAAGGAAGCTGGTGGCACACACGGTTAATTGCTAGGCAGCCAACTGAAGGGCGACAATCAGAACCTACCCCGTGCCCGGGGAGCAAGACCCAGGGCACAAGACAGCAGCCTGAGGAAGCCAGCAGGGCAGGTGTGGTCTGCCACACAGGCTTAGGATGGACCAGAATTGACTGGATATTGCACAGCAAGGAAAGGAGACTTCGATGGTCTCACTGAACACAACATTAGCATCTTCCCAGTGTCTTGGGAGATGACTGCAATACCGGAAAACCTCATTTCTCCAAAAAGAAGCTGCTCAAGTGTTTGGATGATGCCCCGCAGAGGATGCTACTTGTAAGCAACCACTCCAACGTCTGCAGGTGAAGCTTACATATTACAGCCACTTCCTTTGTACGGATATGCTGTATGCGTTATAACCCAAACACGGGGATCAAAGTGTGAAAGGGAGAGGTTAAAGAGGAAAAGTTATGCTTTCAACAATCTTAAAGTTCCTAAGGGCTTGGTATTGCTATGAACTAATAGTTTTAAGTTACGCACACACACATTTCATATGTAGCCAGGATGAGGCTCATTGTTAAGGTACAATAATAAGCTGCCATCAAGATGTTTTCAAGAAGACTCCCGCTCATGGTGGCCCCAGCTGGATCCGGATAGAACTGCTCTCCTCCGGATGTAAGTGGCTGCTTGTTTGGAAATGGATCACCAGGCCTTTTTGCTGAGGCACTGCAGGGTTGACTTGGACGGCCAATGTTTCGATTAGCAGCCGAGTGTTTTAACTGTTGCATCCCCAGGGAAACTGCATGGCTAATGATCTCACTGCCGTTGAGTCAGTGATGTCCACTTACAGTGACCCCCCTGTGGATTTCCGAGACTGTAACTCTTTTTGGGAGTAGAAAGTCCCGTCTTTCTCTCATGGAGTGGCTGGTGGTTTTGAACCGCCAACCATGTGGATGGCAGCCCAACAGGTAACCGCTACACTACCAGGACTCCTATAATGAATGACAGTGGATGCGAATCCTTTGCTTGAGTAGTCTTCCAAATATCTCAGGGGCTTGGACTGATGTCCCGTCACAGTTGGTGGCATCGGCCTGGCTTTTCCTCCTGACCGAATCACAGAGGTACGCTCGCCCCTTTCTGATCTTGGCCAGGATTGCACGACTCAAATATGATCTTCAAACCACAGTTTTGTGGTCGTAACCTTTTTAAGGCCATTTGTTCATCTTCTGAGAGTTAAGTCAGTTAAAACCACATTATAGAACTGTACAGGGACTCAGCCGTATGTGCAGCATGCTGGAGTAGTCATCATGGGTAAGGGGACCGGATTTCAACACTGGGAAAGCGGGACACCATTGAAAAACGCGAAACAGGCACATGGCAGCCGAAATCCGTATATCCTAGCTTGTTGTGCATTCTTTCAAAAAAATCGGGACTTTTTAAAAATGCCGCGGGACGTGGGAAAAATTGTTAAAAATCGGGACTGTCCTGCCAAAAGCGGGACATCTGGTCACCTTAATCATTCGCCATTGGGCTGTGGAGAGCTGGGCCTTCGCTGAGATTTGTTGTGAGCTGCTTCCCAGGGGACGTCCGTTGAGAGCAGCCCGTGTGATGGAGTACAGCGGTCCCCAGGGATTTCTAGGCTGCAGTCTTCAAGGGAGCAGACCCATTTCTCACCGCAAGTGGCTTTTGGTTAGCCGCAGAGCGCATAATTGGTTGCACCCCTTTGCCCATATACGGCCTGGTCTGTAAACGCTACACCAACTAGATCAGGCTCTATACCCCGAGGCCCCAGGCCCTGGGAGCTGCAGGTCCCAGGGACAGTGGCCTCGCTCCTAAGCTAGTAGGCGCTGAGTGACAAAAGAGGGTGGGATGTGCTGAGAAGCACTGGAGGAGGCAGGCCTAAAGAGGAGCCCCAGCCAGGGCCAGAGCAGCAGCAGGAAAGGCCCTTGGCCTCTTTCGGCGCCCCCCCTTTTGGCAAAATCAAAGCAGGAGTGGTGCTCTAGGCACCCGGAGCTCGTTAGCAGGCCTCCCACCATATGGATTCTGGGCGCGTTTCCCACCGGCAATATGGTGTCCATTCGCCTACGCAAATGGCCGCAGCTCATTACTGGCCGCCCCACAAAGGCTTCACCCCACGTGGTGCCTCCTGCGGGAGGCCCCTCTGCAGGCTGGATGGGGAGATGAGGTCACTGCAGCACCCCCTCCGTCTCCTCCTCACCCTGCCACTCACCCCCATGGCCCCCGACTCTTTTGTGTGTTAGCCCTGCTGCCTTACTAGGGCCCTTCGGGGGGCATGTGTGCCCCAAGCCAAGCAGACACCTCATCTGGATATTCCAGGCTGCTAATCAAGCACTCTGTCATCCCAGCCGCCCGCCGTGGCCCATGTGTGCAGGGCTTTGATGTGGTGGTGCTGGGGTGGGGGCCCGGCCCTCCTGTTTGGCGTGATGTACTCCAGCCAGCCTCAGTTCCCCAGAGAGCGAGCAGAGACCACAAGCTGCGGTTTGGGGGAAGCCCCTTTCTCCCCTGGGCCTGCCCACCGCGGGCTCCAGGCTCACCTGCACAGCTCTGAGAAGGGCAACTACAACGGGCACACTGGCCTCCTCCGAGCTGCCCCACTGCACTTGATTTTTTGGCAGAGCATCGTGAAGCCAGGCATTTTGCCCGTCTTGCTTCCTGCCCTTGCGGTGCCCAAGAGAGCAGGCGTGCAGGCCCACACTGATGCCTGAATAATAGTATTACAAGGTCAGCAACCGTGTGGGAAAGCGGACACTTTGTATGTCTTTTGTGGAAGGGGCGGGAAAGACAAACTCTGGAGATGGGGAGAGGGCTGTTACATGGACGTCATGAAACAAAACACATGTGAATTGTTGAATGGGAACTCTTGTGCTCCGTAGACTTTCACCCAAACTTTACAATTAATCAATCGAACTAAATGCGATAAAATTAAACAAAAGAAAAAACAACAAAACCTGTAGCTCCACTTTTTGCTTAGGGACGAGGTTGCCATGAGTTGATTGCCACTCACAGTGACCCCACACGACACAGTAGAGCTGCCCCACAGGCGTTCCAGAGGGAGCAAAGCCTCCAGGGCTTCTTTCTCTTACAGAGCAACTGGAGGGTTTGAACTGCTGACCTCTTGGTCACCATTTGTGCACTTAACCATTAGGCCACAGGGGTTTAGTGTGGCAAAAAGAGCCCTGGAAGTGAGCTGACATTGTTCCTGGCAAGTTCCTTAACCCCTCTGGGTCTCAGTTTGACGCTCTGCGTGAGAAGAGGGATGGCTGCCCCTGCTTCGTTAGGGTCATGATAAGGAACCAGTGAAATGATGCACATGAAGAAGGTACGACGCACCAGGGCAGGTACGACGCTCAGAGCTCAACTAGCAGGGCGGTCCCGGGCAGAGTTCCCACCTGCCATGAGCCAGTTTTCTCATTTATAAAACAAAAGGGTCTGAACAGTCCCATGCTTTTTAATATTTTTGACTGAGACTAGTTTTGAGAAACTGATGGATGCTGTGAACTAGAAAGTCTAGAAGAATGTTCATTTGCAAACAATATCCAGGAGATCAGGGACCCTCATCTCCCAACTATGGACCTAGCTCGAACATCCCTGGACTGGCCGCTTATTCTTATCCCACCCAACACTGATGTCCTGGGTCTCGAGATGCTTAGAACTTTTGGCCACTGCTTTCATGGAGAAACAATAGCTTGGAGAGAAATGAAAGGGAGGCTACCCCCACCTCTAGGTTTATGGGTGTTACTAATGCTCCTCATTCTGATGTTAACTTAAAAGTTGGCAGTATGAACCTGCTACGTGGCACCACAGAAGGAAAGTCTGGAGGTCTCCTTCCCTAAAGTTTATAGTCAAGCAAGCACTATGTGATGCATAGTAACCTTCTGTAACACATGGTGTGGTCATGAGCCAGCACCAACTTGGTAGTGATGGGCTTTCAAACTTGTGGTGGGCGTGTCTCTCTTTCCTAGGCGTGGAATAAACACCTGCCATTTGTCAAAGAAACAGCAACCTCCCCTTTCACTTCGCCTTAGTGCCTAGAGCAGGCACTGTTTTTATGTTAGCCTGGGTTGCATGTTGTTTCATATCCTAGTAAGATGATTCTGGGTCAGCTCTCATGATTAAAGGGAGATTGAGGAAGTGGGGAAATTTGACAGAGAGAGCATGGGGACTATGTTCCTGTGGGGGTTACGTGCTCAGGTACTTCTATAACAGGTGACCACTCCAGCTTAAGGATCTAAGTCAGAGGCTCAGAGAGGGTAAATGACTTGGCTAAGGTCACACAGCTATTAGGAGGGATTATGCATTTAGCTAAAAAACAAAAACAAAAACACCCACCTCACTGCCATCAAGTTGATACCAAATCATAGCGACCCTGTAGGACAGTGAGTTTCTGAGACTAAAAACCCTTTACAAGGGTAGAAAGTCCTATCCTTCTCTTGAGGAGCAGCCAGTGGTTTCCAACTCTTGACCTTTTTGTTAAGAGCCCCACACACATCCACTAAGCACCCTGACTTCTCACTATGAATTTCCCAGTATAAAATAAAACCTACTGAGAGTCTTTGTGTTGGACTCCTAGGATAGGCTGGTGAACACAATAGTTGAGGTTTCTTCTCCCATGAAGATTTTTTTCAGATCGGTGGGGGAGACAGAATCCAAAATCCCTATAAATTATCTCTTGATCATTGGTGATAAATTCACTGGGGACATGAGCAGGAGGCCGAGAGGGCAGATGATGGAGGACGGGCAGTTAAAAAGGGGATCGCCAAAGAGGTGGCTCTTTGAAGAGCTGAGGAGGAGATGGATCCAGGCAGAGCGAAAGCTCTCCGGGGTGGTTGAGAATTTAGTTCATCTGAGGAGCATGAAATGGGGCCAGTGATGCTGGCCTTGGGCCGTGGCAGCTGATGAGGCTGAAGAGGAAGGCAAGGCACAGACCACACAAGTCCTTGCGGACCTCGCTAACCTGTTCAGATGTGATTGTGAGAGCAGTGTTGGGTCACAGAAGTCCTTTAAGCGAGCAAGAGACACTTCCAATTTAGGTTGTAAACATCCTACTGGCTGCTATGGTGCAAGAAGGAATGTTCCCCCTGTAACCTGCACCTTTGCCAAAGTGGGTGGTGCCATCCCTAAGGGGTGTTTCCGCAATGTTGGGGACATTTTGGGTGGCCAGAGTAATTGGTGCTGGGCTCTCCTAACATTTAATGGGTGAGGGAAGGCCAGGGATGTTAGCATCCTGCGATGGGTGAAGCAGTCGTCTGGGAGGTGGGGTCATCCTGGGCCCCAGCTGGCTTTTGAACACTCCAACCAGAGGGTAATGGCGAGGAAACACCTGCTTATAATTAACTGAGTCATGAGCCTAACTGCTTTATATGTAAACCCAAAGTATTTTGGGTACTTTCCCAGGGAATCAAGGAAACTTTACCAAGAGCTATTTATACTTTCAGACAATCACTCTGCCGATACTCAGGCTTTTGAGACACCAACTCAAGGGAGTTCATCTTCTTTTTAAAAAAATTTAATAAATCCTTTTATTGGGGGCTCTTACATCTCTTATAACAATCCATACATCCATTGTGTCAAGCACATTTGCACATCTGTTGACACCATCATTTCCTAAACATTTTCTTTCTACTTGAGCCCTTGGTGTCAGCTACTCTCAAGGGGATCCTACGGGTGTCACACTCATCAAGGGGGTTCAATGGGTGTCAGGCTCATGGGGACTCTCCGGATAGGATGATGCGAAGCATCACTTCTTTAGTGCACTCGTGGAGCCTGAGTGTTCACACACTGACTGTCTCGCTTTCCTATCCATGACTGCCCTTTGACTTCTCTCTGTATCGTGACACAGTCCAGGAGGGTGCACATGCTCATAGTGCTTGAATGTTAAATGACAAGCTGGAGGCTCAAGTCCACCCAGAGGCACCTTGGAAAAAGGCTCGGAGATTTTTTTCATTGTCTAGGAAGCACCCAGACATGAAAAAGAGTAAAGCTGAGTGCCTTTGGGCAGGAGGTTGGCT